CCCACCCGGACGGCGGCTCGGTAGGGACAAACCTCTGCCGCCCGCCCAGGACGAGGAAGTGGCGCCAAGCGGACGGGCCGGAAAGGCGGCCATCATAGGAGAGGCGCGCAGGCCTCGAGGAGCCGCCTGGACTACAACTACCAGCATTCCCCGCAAAAGCGAGGCTCCTTGAGGGATCCTGGGAGTTGTAGTAAAAAAAGACTTCCCCCCCACAACCCACTCAAATCACCTTCCGCAGAGTTAGAAAGCAAGCAACTCACTGGAGACACGCTCACAAAATTCGTAATTTAGGGGCCCACCCAAGACCTTTTGCTGCCTGAGGCGAAGCCCGTGGAAAGTCGCACAAGCACGCCCCCCCCCCCGAATCATAGACATAAACGGACAAGAAAGAATAAATCACACAAACAAGGCTGGGCCCAGTTAGTTAACTCTTGCAGGAATTATGCTGGGCGATGATGGGCGTGTGGGGGGGGGGCGTGCCTCGACTTACGCGCGCCCCCGCACACGAACCGCCTCGACTTACGAACCACACACCGCAGGCTTATCACATTTCGAAAGACTCAAAAGTGGTACCGAAAACCATCTAAAGAGCAATTTTGTGTTTCTGTAATGGAACCTAAGAGGATCTCATTTTTGCATCAGAATTGAGAAGGATGATGGCACAGTGTCTCTAATGGAGCCAGGACATGCAGGGTCAAAGCCCTGAGGACTTTTCTGGCCAGCTGAATCATCATCATCTGCCTCCTCTTCAGGCTTCCTTGAACTTTGCTGCAATTCTTGCAGGAGTGGGGAAGAAACATTTCGTCAGGAACAGTATGTTGTTGCAAGCATAGAGGAGAGGGCCTAAAGCAGGCACTGCAGACCTGGGTTCAAATCCCCACTTGGTCAAAATTCATTGGAGGTGACATGGGTAGAACCACTCTTTAAATATCTCACATCCGTCAGAAACCCTCCTAGGGTTTCATTAAGAGCCGTTCACTTTACAAAAGACCTGATCCTGGTGGGAACAAAAACTGCTAGAACTCATGCATTGGGGTGAATTGTTCCAATTGCCAGCAGTTTTTGGATTCTCGTGGAAGAGTGGATAATTAGAGGGAGTGTGATGGTGAAGCCCTGAGCTTCCCAGTGTACCTGCATACCTACCATGGCACACATGCAGAGAATCCTAGGCAGATTTATGATTCTCATTGCAAATTTAGCATGAGTGCAGCAGGCTAGAATGGTAACAAATTAATATCTTTCCTTTCACCAGCACTGGGACTCACAACAGCACAAGAGGTATGAGATGTTGGAGTTATTGCAACCTCACATGCTTGGAGGTGTAGATTGGAGGGACCTTTCTGGGTAGGGATGACTGTCAATCACAAACAGCCATAACCAATCATTCCTTCTCTGGCTGAATTCAAAGAGAGCTCTGTCTCTCTGCTAAGGGTCCCTCCCGCCCTTCAGTAGTCTGTTGGAACCAGTCCTTGGTTTGTAGAGGCCTGTTGCTTAAAGCAGCCAGCCATGTTTGTTTGCTGTTCTCTGTTGACTGTAAGCAAATTAAATATTTTCTATTCTTTCTCCTAGTTGCGTCTCAAAGTGCATTATTGAGACTGTAAGTGCCGGTTGATCAGGAAAAGGGGTGGTCTACTCCGGGGGCCTTGAAGCTAATTCTGGTTTGCGAATCCCTGCACTTTCTGCGGCGCGGCTAGAGGAATGTAACCAAAATTCAAAGCTCTGCAACACGAGAGGCAGGAAGGGACATGTCTGGGAAGGGAGGCTCCACTGCCTTAATTTGAATATGATTCATCAAAGCAGATGATGCCGCTTAATAGAATTTGGAAGCAGACAGCGTTTTTGTTTGAAGGAGGCGACGTGGAGAAGGGGATCGCAGGAGGCCGAGGCCATGAGTGGGTCTCCTTTACCAGGAAGACTTGGCAGTGAGCCATCGGGGCAAGACTTAAGCATCCTAGAGTTGTCGTCTCTTCTCAATCTTTGACCTTCTAGGTTTTTTTCCTTTTTTTCTTTTTGGCTCCCAGAATTTCCTGACCCTGTCCCGTTCTTGGCTGGCTGGGGAATTTCTGGGAGTTTTGCCTCCTTCAGAACTAGACAATAAAAAGTTGAATCTGTTGCTGCAGCGAGTGGGGTGGGGGAGGTAGAAGATAGGTCAGGATCCCCTTCGCTGGTTTCTGTTGCGCTGTGGCAGATGGGTAGATTGGGGTGTGTGTAGGGGGGGAAATCACAACCACATGTTGGCTGCCATCGTTGCTCAGACCTGGAATACCTCTGAGGTAGCTGCCGGAGAGACTGAGATGCTTGGCTTCCTGGCTGCCTCCTTGCTGTGTGTGATCTCCTCTCACCAGCCAGGGCTTGTACTCAGGAACTGGAAAGTGACCAGAAACCGTTGACTCAGCATTAATCAGATCCGGGCACAACCTCGCTGAGTCATTAGGAGGCATGTACTGTATTCCGATCTCGTCTCCCCTCTGATTGCAAGACATTAACCGCTAGGGTTTATTTATTTATTTATTTATTCGATTTATATCCCGCCTATCTAGTCGGATAGGACCACTCTAGGCGGCTATGACACAATTTCATTCTTCCAAACCAGCTGCCTTTCGGTATCCATTCACACGAGGGGTATATCAAGGACTCATTCCTGTTTGGAAGAGGAAAACGGAGCCGCTGTGGTGGGACTGGAGAGCTAGCCGCTGTTCACGAGTGAATCTTGCTGGAGTTTTCTTTGCAACCTCGCATGCTGCCTGTTGGTTTGAGTGACTGGGAGGGACATTTCTGGGCTGCGGTGACTGTCACTCTGTCCAGCGCTATCCAATCATTCCTTCCCTGCCTCTAATTCCAAAGAAAGCCCCGCCTCTCTGCTCAGCCCTCCCCCCCCTTAAGTCTGCTGAAGTCTGTTTCTAGAAGCAATCATGTTGCTTGATTTGCTGTTTGATCTGTTCAATTGTAAGTAACTAGACCTTTTTTTATTCCATCTCCTGTTAATGTCTCGGAACAAGTTATTGAGACGGTAAAGGGCCAGTGGATGAGAAAAGGGGTGGACCGATTCCTTCCTGTGAATCCCTGAACGTCTGTGCCAGTGGATGAGAAAAGGGGTGGACCGATGGGGGGAACTTGAAACGATTCCTTCCCATGAATCCCTGAACGTCTGCTGCACAGCTAGAGAAATTGAACCAAAATTAAAAACTCTTCAAGAAAAACTCTGCAAAGGTCATTATACGCATTGGGAACAACTGGACGGTACATAGCAACACCTCTGGTTGGGACTAAGGCTGGCGATACGACCTCCTTGAGAGAGAACAGTCCTCCATTTGAAGAATGGCTCTCCTTTTTGGTGACAGTGAAGCGACCACCCTCACTTCACCCGGACAGGAGTTCCCCGGCAAAGTAAGGAAGTAGAGGTTTTGAATGAATGGAGTAAATGCATCTAACCAGCCCTCTCTTATTTTATAAGTGCAGTGATTTCGGGAAAAGACACATCGCACACCCACTGATCCAACGGCTGATGAAGAGCAGGAAGGCTGCATTGGAGGCAGTGCCTGAAAAATTTTTTAACCGGGAGGGAGCTTTCTGGACAGGGTGAATGTCAATCCACCTTGTAGTTACCCACAGTTCCTTCTCAGCCTCAGAATTTTCCTTTTCCCAGCGCATTTGAGACTGTTCGGTGAGAGTCAGCTATGTAATCCATTACGCTCTGCTCGTGGGACTGTCGTTCCTTTTTCTATGAAATGCTCTGCGATGTGATCTAGGAAGACGTGTGAGTAAATGGAACTTTTAGTTCCCCTTCCCACTTCCCAGTGCATTGTTGAGACAGGAAGTGCCTGTGGAGGAGAACTAACTAATAAGGGGTGGTCCACTGAAGGGAGACTTGAAGCTAATTCTGCTCTATGGGTCCCTGAACATTTAACTGCAGCGTAGTAATTAATTTTTTAAAGCCAATAAATTTCCACACACTTCGAATAAGAGAAAGCATGGCAAGCCCGTTTGGTCTGAACTTTAGAGATCAAGTCAGTCCCAGGAGTAGACATTCTGAAAGCTCTTCATTAACGGATGGTTACCTAGCTGGACTGCCAACCTCTCCCCCCCCCTCCCGTGTATAATCCGTAGTTCATTTTTCTTATTTTCAGAGATCATCTCCCATCAGTTAAGCTGAAACCGTGGTTTTTCTTATTTTCAGAGATCATCTCCCATCTGACTCGGATTCACATTTGGATGAAAAGAAGTGAGCCATTAAGCTGAAACCGTGGCGTGAAGTTGGACACGCGGCTGACTAACTAGCCCATCGTGAGCCCAGGAGTTACCAAGAGTTATTCAACACCAGGCCTCGTTTATTTATTTGATTAATAGCCCACCTTTCTCTCGGGGCTGTGAACCTCATCACAGTCTTGTGCAATACGGTGAGCAGTGGTGTACTTCCACTTATATTGTAATAATGTCTAACAGTGATATTTGCATGTATTCATTTAAATCAGCATATGCAAATTTAATGCAAAGTGACCCACCCACCCCTCTTTTTATTATTAAAAATACCCTTCTTGTTAGTGATGGCACTGTGGCCCCCCTATCAGGGCCGGAAAAGAAAATGACAGCATTTTTAGCGACAGGATTGCGTGTGGACTGAAAGACTAAGCACTGGGAAGTTAAGTTCTCCTTCCCTGTCCCTATTAATCTGAAAAATATCCTTTTTTCTCTTTCATGGAATAAGGAAGTTTTCCTTTCTTTGCAGCCACGCTGCGTTCCTCTTCGATAGGGCCGCCTGGACTGATAGGGCGCATGCTCAGAAGGATTTCCATTCAGCTAAAGAGGACATGAGAGATGTCCCCCTCCCAAAAAAGAGAAAAAAGGCTCATGATTTTGAATACGCTGGGAATACACTGGCCTGGAAAGTCTGGGAAAATGGCAACATCAGGACCGCATTTCAGGAACAAAAGAAGGGGGATCTACTCGCTCGACGGAGTCCCTCAAACCCTCCATCATCTAAAGCCAGAGGTTCCCAACTTTGGGTCACCCAGATGTTCTTGGACTGCAATTCCCAGACGCTTTCCCCACCCGCTGTGTGGGTCAGGATTTCTGGGAGTTGTAGTTCAAGAGGACCTGAGTGACCCAAGTTTGAGGACTACTGATCGAAGCTTTGTTTTGACGTGGCGCAAGACCAGACCCGCACGAGGTACCTCCTCCATGGGTGGTGAGAAGCTGGCCTTTATCCTTGTGACCTCTTCCCTGGTCCACTAAAAGCAAGACCCAGGTTTCCTTCCCCCCTTCAGGGCCACATCATCCTCCACCACCCTGTGACACCCCCCCCCAGGTTTCTCATTGATGCCCCCCCCCCCCTCAGGGCCACATCATCCTCCACCACACTGTGACACACACACACACCCCGGGTTTCTCATTGACGGTCGACCTAGGCTGATAAAAGTTCACATCTGGACACAGGCACGATGGGTCATAACTGGCTTCATTAGGTGAGAGCTGTGGACATGTGCAACCGAGAGGATGAGCCGAGGGTACAGTTCCTGAATGGGGAAGGAAGAAGGAGGCAGGATTAGGAATGTCAAAGTCCGAAAGCTTGTTCAGAGACAACCAAACATTGTCCTCAGATATGAATATAATGAGACACAACGTTTTTAAGTACAGTAAGTTATTGCTAATAGCTATGCTTCTGTCTTCCAGAAAGCGAGGTGTGAAGCATTACAGAGGAACAAAACATTGAACATGGGTTCGGGTTATACAAAGCATCCGGACGTCATTTGGTACACTCCCTGATAAATGTAAATACAGGATAGATACGTGGTTGTGTGCGTGCCTAGACACACAAACATACTAGAAGCTATTTGTAATTGTCTCGCCAAAAGTCTAGGACATAAAATGGAGATGGACGTTAATTTTTTGTTTGGAAAAAAAATCTCTACACAGTGTATATTACAGGGGAACTCCATCTAAGGATGTTGCAAAATATTCCACATTTATTAGAGGTGCATGTGTGTGTGTCTTTTTTTCAAGGAGAAAGGTGGGATATAAATAAATGAATGAATGATAAATAAGTGTGTGTGTATGCCTTGAAACTCCAGGTCTCCCTTGCGTAAAAATGCATACGGGGTGCTTTTCGTTTTCCTGGTTGTGTTTATAGAAAGACATTATTTTTGTAAAAAAAGAATTTTTTAAAGCAAACAAAACCAACTCATAGATTAGTTTCACAGAAGTGCTCCGAGTCAGCGACATCACATCCCACGCCCAGAAGCTTCGAGGCCCACGCGGAGATTCATGCGCACAAAAGCGGCTCCATTCCGACCATTGCCCTGCGCATGCGATGGGGAGGGGAGGAGTCTGAACAGCGCATGCAGAACATGGAACGGGGCAGCCCTGGTGTGTTCTAGTCCCCTCGGGGAACCACGTGGCGGTTTGGAGCGCACCAGACTCTCCACTTAAGCAATGAACGCATGGAACTGCAAACCCATGTGTCAGTATCTGTGTGCACGCACGCATGCGCAGTAGTAGTGGCAATCATAGTACTGTAATAGCCAAAGTACAAGTCGTACATAGCAAGCTGTCCACTGCTCGTCTGGCTTCCGTCACCCACCAAGGTTATTACGTGATCATTCTTTCAACAGATGGCCAAGACTGGTCTCTTGCCCAACGTGTAAAAATGCAGAAACATAAAAGAATGAAGATGTGGAAGGAAAAGTTGGGTTCTTGCACCAAGGAGGAGCGCTTGGCGGTTGCCCAGCAACTAGCCCGATGCTGCTTCCCAGTTGCCGAGCAACAGCCTTCCTCTCCATCTCTTCTAACATAGAACTGACCAATCACTCAGATGGGAATGAGACCCCAGGAAATCAGCCGTCTGGAGATGGCCACAGGGTGTCCGGCTAGTGAGAGGACTGGAAGACACCGGACAGCAGTTCTGGGGCCACAGCCAGTTACGTAACTCAATGAGCTACCCAGCCAGTGTGTGTGTGTATGTGACAATCCACGGTTGCACCAGTAAAAATCTCCATTTTTTAGCCAAGCTAAAAAAATCATTAAATTTTTCTTTAAAAGTTACAGCTCTCAAAATCACCCAGAAAGTGCCCTCTGATATGCCTTTATGTGAATGTGACCCCCTAATGAAGACAATAGGATTTACTTCTGAATGGGCCTGAACAGTATCATGCTGTTCCATAGCTTCTCTGGGTTGCTTGCCTCTCGCGCTACCCTGCTTCGTACAATCCACACCCTATGTTCTGCAGGGACACTCGTAGTGCAGAAAAGCGACTTTTCCAGCTTCTGTCACCCACACTCCTGTGGGAGGTATCAGCTGGGTTAGAGAACTCTTAAGTGCTTGGAAATACATAACAGGGGAAATAAATTTTTTTAAGAAGGGGGGGATGTGCAAGGAGGGCCTCCGGGAACGATCCAGAACAGTGCACGTTTCCTGGGTATAAAATGCTGAACAACTTTTGGAGGAAAACCAAAACAGAACGGGAAAACTTTTTCCCTGTATCTGAGAGATTTCCCAGCTTTCCACAGAAGGCAGCCTTCAACCTCAGTTTTTAACCTCCGTCCACCGAATTCCCCTAGCGATTGTGCCGAAGGAAGCATCGCATTTTCTGCAACTTAAACCCATTTCCGAGGAATCCTGTTCAGGATCGAGGCCCCTCCTGCTTAGGAATTTGAACAATTCTGCATAGCACACAGTTTATTCTCCCCTTTCCAGACAACTCCTGCGCAGGATATATACCATTCTGGGCAGGCCCTGCAACAACCCCGCACAGTTTGGCATTTCTCCCAGGAAAGAAAAGAGGACAAGCTTTCTGAGAAATCCTGAGAGATTTCTTGCGGGCAGGGGACAAAGTCATACCGACAAATCTCACTGCAACGAGAAAAAGGGTGCTTTTTTTTCCTCGGCTGCTTTTGCTGAGAGACTTGCATCCCCCAGAGGCACAACCTAAGAACGGATCATTCTTGAATAAGAACAGTGTCATTATGAAAAGAACATGAAAAAAGCAAAGACATGGACAACGGCAGGTGAAATGAATTTTAGACTGAATTTCATCCCTGTAAGAAAAGAGGCAAGGAACATACTCTCCAGTCCTTCCTGATTGTCATTCCGTTATCCTTCCCCCCTCCCATTCCACCCCGACCAAAAACCCTACTGCCATGGATCTCCAACCAGGCACAGCAACACACACACACCTAAATATTCAGGTTGAGGAGTTGCCCTGTCCCTTTCCAGAAGCCACCCCACTGGAACCAAACCCACCCATTTCAGAACTTCGGTACAGGGAACTCAGCCTAGACTGGGAAGAGTTGATTCTCCCACAATCAAGGCAGCTGGAGACCCTGTTGCCGTTTCACCTGGCAAAGCCCACCTTCCGCAGGACTGGTCTACCTATTAAACATCCCCATTATCATGAGCAGCAAAGGTGTCACAGTTTTGTACCCCGAACAGGAAACTATGGCTAGAAAATCCCCATAGAGCAGAATCCAATTAACCCAGAGGTTCTTAACCTTCCGATTCATGGAGCCCACGGATAGGTTCCCAGGGGTGGGTGCGGGAAACTGGGTACACCCCCACCACAATTTTTCTTTTAACTTTTTTGGGGGGGGGCATAAAATAAACATTCCAAAAATTGTGAGTGTGTTTCATGTCCATGTCTCTGGGGAAGCGGGGGTCAATAGTTTTCATCAGATTCTCAAAGGGGTTTCGTGAGCCAAAAACAGATCCCAAAAGCAGACCTCGCCTACTTGATTCTATCCCAAGCCGCCTGATGAATTACCATATTTTTTCGTGTACAAAACTATACTTTTGTCTAAAATCTTTAGACTAAAAATTGAGGGTCGTCTTATACACGGAAGTCATCTGAGGAGAGAACAAACACAAGTGGAGGGGAAAGCAGGGATCAAAGCAATCCTGCAGTGCTTTGATCCCTTTCCCCCTACACTTGCTAAGCCCCACTTAGATTTCTTAATTTGGGGTTAGAAAAGGGGGCGTCTTATACACAGAAAAAGATGGTAGGTCCCTAAATTTTTGAACTTTTTTTAAAAAGTTCAGTGGGCTCCCCCTATCTGTAAGATCTATTCCAAGCCGCCTCCTGGAGGAGGCTGAAAAAATGTGAATTATAGCAAACAGGAAACATGGCATGATCTCTGGCTCACTCTAGTGGCCACTTCTGATAACCTAATATTTAGAAATGTATATTTCTATAATTAATATATATCTATAATACTTTCAGATCGTGGATAGTATCTGCAGATAACTGATCCTGCAGATACCAGGGTCTTACTGTATTCAGTTTCACAACAGGCAGACCAGTGCTTGAATTCCTGGGAAAACATTTATGGTGTTAGGAAGGCCGGGTCCATGGCTTAAATCCTCTTAAATATTTCCCCACCACCAGCAATAATGGCCGTTCAAAGGAACCTTTTAACTCCAAGCACTTTGCCAGATGCTTAAGCCATGATGCAAGGAGGCAGAATTCATGTCAGTGGAATTGAGGAGAGGGATTGATTCTGGTGGAAGCAACATGGTAAAGACAGCCCAGATTCTGGGCTTAAAATTGAGATCGTGGTTCTTAAACATCAAAGAAATGATCTGTCCATCTACCTCCCTATTTACACCCTTCTCAGGTTAAAATTCAATTTTTTAATGCACAAATCCAACCTGTGAGGAAAATTTAAGATTTTCAGTTTGACTTTCGGTTTAAAATCTCATTTTCCAAAATTTGGTAGGGCCCAAATATTAAAAAAAAAATACTGTCTCAAGCAGGAGATTGTAAGGTAGAGAGAAAGCTTATTATCTGGAATGTCCAGGTTCTATTTTATTTTATTTCAAGAACCACTCTACCCATCGTTTCAGCTCCTGCCCAAATATAACTAAGGATGCAAAGCTACCATTGCCTCTTTTAACTAAGGATGGCTATCGGTGCTCAATTGATGAAGGAACAGATAGGAAGGAAGGACAGGATTCACGCCTTCTTCACGGTTTTGGACAAATCGTATTTCCTTCGCAAACCAAGAGAAGAAAAATAGCTAAAGTGGCAGGCACAAAAAAATATTGTGATCTCCTATCATTCAAACACTCTCCTGAATTTCAGCTAATGCCACTTAAGTTTCCAGATTTTGGGATTTTCTGGAATACAGATACCGTGTTTTCCCATTCTGAGAGTCCTATTTACCACATAGGCACCTTACAAATACATGTGGGAGAAAGGCCTTAATTAGAAGGCTTTGAGGCGAAGCTCGGCCTAGCTTTGCCTGAGCTTCCTGTTCCAGCCCCAGTGCTAGCTGAGACTTTTCTTTCTGAGCAGGAAGCTAGGCCTAGCTAGGCCTCAAAGCCTCCCAACTCAGGCCTTACTCCCAGGCGAGCCACACTGAAGTGTCTGTAATGTGCCTATAATGTCCCAGAAATCAAAAATTATAGCATGTGTACCGCAGAACATCTGAAAATCCCAGACCTATATTCGTCATCCATATTGTATGCTTTCGACCAGTAGTTCCCAACCTTGTTGGACTTCAACTCCCAGAATCCCGAGCCAGCAGAGCCAAAGGTCACAGCTTTTGAGCGTTGTAATCAGATACATACTATGGACTCAAGATTAGGAACCAGCAATTTTCAGTGGTTCTCAAACTGGGGTCCTCAGATGTTCTTGGACTACAGCTCCCAGAAATCCTGGCCAGCACCGCAAGGGTTGAAGGCTTCTGGGAATCGCAGTCCAAGAACATCTGGGGACCCCAGTTTGAGAAACACTTAAGACTGACACTTCTGCTTTCTTGCATCCATAAGGAAGGAGGGTAGGAGACATATATCCTAATATAAAAGAATACCCAGATCTAGAGAATTTCAAAACATCTTTCAGCTCCTCGATGCCTCCTTGGTCAGTTCCTGACCCCAAACACTCCACACTTCAAGGCCATCTTTTTTTTCCTGGAGTCGATGGGAGAAAATGTCCCAGTGAAACACACACGCAATTAAAACAAATACATCACACTCTCCTTGGAGGTGGGATGGATCAGACACATTCAGAGAAGTCAAAATCCAGATGTCAGGGCTCAGCACTCAAACATCTGAATTTCCAATTTGGAAAAAAAGGAAAAAGTCAACACGCTGTAATCGCAAGGCACGGAAACTCGAGGTTCGGTGTGTCAAACCTCTTTGCCCAAACGTTGTGCAACGCCGTTTGCTGAGGCTAAAGGCAAGTAACTTTTACTACATTCACTTCAGCTCCGACTCCTACGATCTCTCCACAGCACAAATCCAGCACCGGCTGGCGAGGCTCCCCCCCTCCGGCCGTTGCCGAGACCCTTCCTGGTGAGAGCCCACGGCTATTTTGGTGTGGTGATGATTGGACAGAGAAGACGGGGGCTTTGACGATGTTAAGCGTCTCCCCAAAACTTCGCTCCGGGTTTTGTGATGTGCTTGAAAAAAGATCGGCCTTCCAGTGGGGTGACCTCTTCAGAAAAGCGGCGTCAGAATGGCGTGTGTGTGGCTTTTTCCGGTTTCCCTGCTCTCTTTCTCTCTCTTTATTTCCTTTCTTCTTTTTTTTTTTACTCTGAGTCTTTGGAAGCTCGGGGGCTCGAGCCGTTTCGGTGGCACGGCTCCCCTTTGGACGGCGGCCGCGTCTCCCCCAAAGTCCTGATGCTGCAGGCCGGCTCCGCCGCATCGTGGGAAGCCTGGCGGGGAGATTTTGGCCGGCAGCCTCGGGCGTCGCTGCGGTCGGCGTCCGTTTGGGGGGCGCCCCTGGCCGACGCTTTGGGCTCCGGTTTGGCCCGGCGGGCCGGGGCGTGGTGCCGTTTGGCGTACAAAAAAAGCGCCGGGTCGGGCATCGGATCGGTCTCGTCCAAGCTGCTTAGCCGCTCTCGAGACGAGGAGTCCCTGAAGGCCCCTTTGCCATGGAAGGAGCCGGCGACCTGCCTGCGGGCGTGGGATTTCTGAGTCCTCTTTTTGGGCCGGACCTCCCCGGAAGCTGGAGGGAGGAAGCCCTTCTCTGAAGGCCGATCCGGCAGTGGTTTCCCGCCCTGCTTGGAGCTGAGAAACTTCTGCTTGGTGGCATGCAGCTGGAAAGAGAGATACGCAGCCGCCTCCGTCTGCTTCTGCAGCTCTGTGTTCAGGATGGTCACCCGGTGGCTTCTCCTCTTGAGCTCCTCCAGGAACTTCCTCTCTTTATTCCTCAGGTTGGACCGGAGCGCGGCCACCAAGCTCTCCTTCTGCCTCAGCTCCTTGCGCAGCGCCAGGTTGTCCTTCTCTTTCTCCTGAAGCTGGCTCTCCATGATCTTGCACTTCTCTTCCAACTCCTGGTCAAGAAGGTCTAAAATTCAGGATATAAAGGTGGAAACGAACAGTCAGCACAGACTCTTTTTAAGCTAAAACCAACGGGGAGGTCAATTGGGAGAGAGAGCCTGGCTTCTGGACACTCTTCCCTCGGTGTTTGGTATCTATCTGGAGTCTATATGGGAATATCATGAAAGGCAGGAGGTGGAACAAAGGAATTACAAGTAATGTAGCTAATGTAATGAGTTACTTTTCGAATTACAAGCATGCAACAAAGTTACAGTTCAAAAGTAAGGTCATGAACAGGATCAAACCCATTAGTCACTAACCCAAAGTTATTGGTTACAGGTCACTACACATTACTGATAACTAGTTACAGTATTTCAATCTTCTGGCCATTCTTTTATCAGTTCTTCCCCTGCCTTGTAAAGACAGCCCAGATTCTGGGCTTAAAATAGAGATCGTGGTTCTTAAACATGAAAGAACCAATCTGTCCATTTACCTCCCTATTTACATCCTTCTCAGGCTTAAATTCAATTTTTTATGGACAATTCCAACCTGTGCGGAAAATTCAAGATTTTCAGTTTGACTTTCAGTTTAAATCTCATTTTCCAAAATTCGTCTTGCTGCTAGGGCCCGAATATTTTTTTTTTAAAAAAATACTGTCTCAAGCAGGAGATTGTAAGGTAGAGAGGAAGCTTATTACCTGTAATGTCCAGGTTTTATTTTATTTTGTTTCAAGAACCACTCTACCCATCATTCTTTTTTGAAGGCTAAACAGTCCCAATTCTTTCAGCCTTTCCTCTTAAGGCTTGGTTTCCAGTCCCCTGATCATCAGCCTTGTCGCCCTCCTCTGAACTTGCTCCAGTGTGTTGGCCTCCTTCTTAAAGTGTGGCGTCCAGAACTGGACCCAGGACTCAAGATCAGGCCCCTTCATAGAAGGGGAATAGCACCTTCGTCCAGAACTGGACCCAGGACTCAAGATCGGGCCTAACCAGGGCGTCATAGAAGGGGACTAGCACCTCGTGGGATCTGATGACTGTACTTCTGTTAATGCAGCCTAAAATCGCATTGGCCTTTTTTGGGGCCACCTCACAGTGTGGACTCATCTTCCGCTTGTGATTAGAGATGGACACGAAGCTGGTGATTGAGGACGGCCCGGGGTGTGTGTGTGCCAAGGATTGTAAGGTCACTGACAGGGCAGTGGCAGCCGGCTGGGAGGGGCAGGAACGTGTGGCACGAAGTGCTTTGTGCCCACCTCGACTTGTGATCTACAACCATTCCAAGATCCTTCTCATTCGTAGTCCTATCGCTAAGCCAAGTATCCCCTATCTTGTATTTGTGTGTTTGGGGGTTTTTTTTACCTGTTTTGCCCTGATCTCTGTTAAAGTTCATTCTCTTGCTTTCAGCCTAGGGCTCAAGTCTATTGAGATCTGTTTGATTTTTCGAGGTATTAACCATTCCACCCAACTACCGTATTTTATGTGTATAAGATGACCCCCACTTTTCCAAACCCAAATAAGAAGATTTGATCGCTGCTTTCCCCCTCCACTTCCTAAGCCTCGCGAAAGCAGGATCAAAGGGCTGCGGAAGTGGAGGGGGAAAGCAGGAATCTTAGGAAGTGGACGGGTAAAGCAGTGATCAAAGGGCTGCAGGATCAAAAGGCTATGATCCTGCAGCACTTTGATCCCTTCCCCCTTACTTCTGTGTATAAGACAACCCTCAATTTTTAGTCTAAAGATTTTAGATAAAAGTATTGTCTTATACATGGAAAAATACGGTATGTGTCACGTGCAAATTTTCATAAACACTATTACCTGGTCCTACTGATTGCATATATTAGAGATTCAACCTGGAACTTTCTATATGACTGAGCTATGCAAGACACTTGCCTGATTTATTAGCGGTGGGAGGAGCGTGTACATGTGGGATCGTCTTACCTTGCTGGCTGGCTTCTAATTCTCTCATTTCAAGATCATGGGTCAACTCTGGACAAAAAGAGAGAGAAAACGGCACCATTAGGAAAAGACACACAATATAGCAATGATGCAGGAATGTGCCGATTAAAGGTTATCTGCCTGTCTGTTTTTCCATCCGTCCGTCCGTCCGTCCATCCGTCTGTCCGTCCGTCCATCCATCCATCCATCCATCCATCCCTTTAAACATTTTAAGCCTGCTTTATATTGACAGACCTCGAAATGGGGGACACTGAGTAAAATAATTCTTACAACTTTTTAAAACCATAGGTAAAGGTTCCCCTTGACATTTTTAGTCCAGTCGTGTCCGACTCTAGGGGGCGGTGCTCATCCCGTTTTTCAAGCCATAGAGCCAACGCTTGTCCGAAGACAGTTTCCGTTGTCACGTGGCCAGCGTGACTAGGGAGCGCTGTTTTACCTTCCCACTGAGGTGGTACCTATTTATCTACTCGCATTTACATGCTTTCGAACTGCTAGGTTGGCGAGGAGCTGGGACAAAGCGACGGGAGCTCACTCCATCGCGTGGATTCGATCTTACGACGGCTGGTCTTCTGACCCTGCAGCACAGAGGCTTCTGCGGTTTAGCCTACAGCGCCACCACATCCCACTTTTTTAAACAAGAGACATATTCTAAACATTTTGAAATATTTTACCACAGAGATAGACAGACAGACAGACAGACAGACAGACAGACAGACAGACAGACAGACAGACAGACAGACAGACAGACAGACAGACAGACAGACAGACAGACAGACAGACAGACAGACAGACAGACAGACAGACAGACAGACAGACAGACAGACAGACAGACAGACAGACAGACAGACAGACAGACAGACAGACAGACAGACAGACAGACAGACAAAAGGGAACGAGACCTGAGCGGGGATTCGAACCCAGCCCTCCTGAGTCCTAGTCCATCACTCTATCCACTACACCACACTGGGACACCCTCCACGTGGTATAATGCTACAAATGGTGATAGGTGAAAAGATTGTAATGATCAAGGATATGTACATAAGGATCTTAGCTTGGTTCACAGAGAGCTCCACCTGGTTTCAAATTCTTCCCACTTTATGGGTACCTTTCGGGGTGCCCGCCTCTCCTCTGCCTGCAGTTGACCCCCTCTCCTGCTGCCTCCTGGGTTGTGCATTCAAAGACTGGAGGGTTACATTTTAAAAGAAACATGTCCTATTAATTACTTCTCAGCACTCAGGTTGCCGTTAACATCCTCACTACCCTCACTGCACAAACAATATATATATTTTTGCAGTCCCACTGCTGTGTTGCCTTTATTGCGGTTGTGTTCTCCTTGCCCGCAGACCAGAGAAACAGAAATCCTCTTTGGTTCCCCCTAATGGCCAGCTCTGATATTGCACTTTGGGAAAATTTATAAATCTTGAGGAAAGCTGGGACAAAAAGTTTACTGATGGATATATAACTTTTCATTTACCTATTTTGAATGCCCCATTTTCCCCCCACCTACGAGCGCAAGTGAACATCTCTTTCGCCGCTTTTAACTCACAACAACCCTCTGAGGTAGAGACACTGAGAAAGTGCCACTGGCCCAAGATCACCAAGTGGGAATTGAAAGCCGGGTCTCCTTAGACGTTGCCCAACATTTTTAACCTCTAATAATCCTGTGCTTTCAAGTTGATGCTGACTTTGGGTGACCCTTTCCATTCACCGTTCCCTTCCTCTGGGGCTCCCTGGAAGTGTGCAGCTCACCCAACACTACCCGGGCTGACACTTCTCCCTGGAGGACCCATAGTGAATCGAACTCACAACCTCTGGTTCCGCAGTAACATCCTAACTCACTGAGCTCTCCAGCCAACTGTTCTGACTTACGGTGACCTTTTCCAGAGTCTCCTAGCTAGAGAGGACTTAGACGTGGCTTCTTCCCATTCCCTTCTTTTATCCTGGGACTCTGCAGTTCTCCCAAGGCCACCCAGGTTGGCTTTTCTCTCTCTGGAGATGCACGGTGTGGAATCCAACTCGCAACCTCTGGCTCCGGAGCCAGAAACTCGACTCCTGGAGTGAGCCAGCTCTACGCCACACCAAAGCAAAAAACAACAACAACTCAAATTACAGCCATGATGTTCAAAAGTGCCCTTCCACATTTGCTATCTGCCGGTACCACTGATTTCTCCCATCCATGGTGCATCTCAAAGTTAAACGCCAGCTTGGCTTTTTCAACTGGCTTTGCTCTGATTCACTCTGCCGAACAAAGGACAGGGCCAGCAAAGCGTGCCGGGAGATTATTCGCTCCAGCTGGTTTTGCACTGTCCTCCCCCACCCCATCCCTTGCAATCTTGGAAAATCAGGCCAGCCCCCAGAGGTGGTTCCACTACGAGGGCACGCGCCACTCCGCCTGGCGCGAAGAACAGCAAGCCTCTTCTGAACAGGAAAAAACAAACCCCTTCAGGTTTCCGGTTCTTCCCAACGACAGAGCTGGCTAGACGTCCAGGAAAGCCCAAATGGTATATTTCACCCCAACTTAAGAGGGGACTAATTCCAGGGATCCACAGGGACCCTCACGAGGACGCTAGCCCCGAAAGACCCTTAAGAAAGAAACTGAGCGCTCCAAACCCAGTGTGATGAAAGCTAAGATCCAAGGAATCAGTGCTCACAGCGCATGTTGACTCTGCCGAGAAAAGATGAAACCATGTCACTCCTCATCGGAGAATGACCAAAGATGGCACAAAAAGATTACAAACTTAGACATGATCGAATGGCAAAATTAATGCACTGGCCGTTATGCAAAATATATATATATATATAGCTTGCCAGCCTCCAAAAACCCAACAGGTAGAGAAGGGGTCAGAAAATGAGGAAGCCAAGGTCTTGTGGGATTTCCGGATCCAAATGGATAAGACACCTTGAACAGAACACACCAGACATAATAGAAACAGAATGAAGAAATGTCTGGATAATCAACATTGCAATTCCAGGAGATGCCAGAGTTGAATATAACGAATTGGAAATACCAACAAAGGACAGAGACCTGGCTATTGAAACATCTCGCTTGTCGACGAAATACCCTTCAGGGGTCCCTGTAAGTCATCAGGGCTTAGGGAACAATATCAAGAAACTTCACGCAGTACAATAAGCAGTTGAAGATCTCAGAAATCACACCAACAGAGCTACAAAAAACGGTAATATTAGGAACAGCCTATATACTGCACCGATATTTAACAGATACTTTGGCTTTTGGTTAAAACTTGTATCTGTTATAGAATGCCAGTCAATGTTTTTATAGTTTTGATTGACTGTGCCTGGTGTTTTTGAACAACCACCATCACCACCACCACCTTAGAACTGCAGAGCTGGCCCTCAAGTCTGGCCCCTGTTGAGGAGGCCCAGAGGGGGAATCAAGCTCCCAATCTCACCTAAATCACATACGTAGTTAATCCACACAACAATCCTGCGAAGCAGCTCAGGTGGGCCAGCAAAGTTGGACTGGAATAGCTAAGACTATGTCATTATGGATTGAACTGTGCTTCAAACTCCATGTTTGAAGGTATCAGTGCCATCAAAGCCTGTGTTTCATTTCAGCTCTTCCATGGGACTAGTAGCACACTACATAGACAGTAGACGGCTTAATGGGATTGTGCGGTAGTGTTCACTTGGAGTGGAACTTAAGGTAGAAAACATGTACAGCTCCTTGTCCAAGATTTGAGTAATAGCTAGGGGGCACTTGTGGTTTGAGTTTCCTTGCTCTAACTCAGTGGTCCTCAACCTTGGGCCTCCAGATGTTCTTGGACTTCAAATCCCAGAAATCCTGGCCAGCAGAGGTGCTGGTGAAGGCTTCTGGAAGTTGTAGTCCAAGAACATCTGGAGGCCCAAGGTTGGGGACCACTGCGGATCCTTTGTCTTTTTACAAATCTGCCCATGCCATGACTAGTTGGTGTAATGCTTACAAATCTTTCCCTAACAATCAGACATGTTCCAGAAAAAGCTAGTTGCAGTTGGGAGGAGTGTTGCAAAGACACCCTTACACCCGATAACTGCTACTCAGAGTTGTCTCCCTGTGCAAAAGTCTCCCATTAGAGACTTCAAACTTTTAGAAAGTGTGAGGATTGAAGGGTAGAGCTGTAGCATCAGCTAAAAACAGCCACACGCGAACAAAAAAAGAGCTCTAGCTATCTAAACGCACACATACAAAACCATAAACTGTAAGCATTCAAATTTAAAATTGCAGTTTTGACCTGTTTAAATGACAAATATCCTGAACTCACAAATATTTATTTTCTAGACTCGGACTACCAGAACCCTTGAGCCATCATCATCGCTGTTGAATCAGGAATCATAGTTTTTTTTAAAAAAAAAAAAACCCAAAATGAAAATGCTCACGGAAAGGAACCCAAATCCTGTTTTTGTGGCATATGTCAAAAATAGGAAACCTGATACCACTCCGATTCCTGCACCAAGAAATCGGGGCGGATATGTCAATGTTGGTTGGAAATGTTTTTTGAAACTTTCGTCTACGAAAGTAGAGCCAGTCGGAAAATCGGAAACCCTGGTCCCCAAAAAGGAAGGGAGGGGGGAGAATCATCCCTGTCACATCTATTTTTGTCCATCGGGCTGAGATGATATCAACGTCTCCAAGGCAATTAATGCGGTGCCATCAAATTAAGAACTGCTAGACTAGGGAACAGCACTGTAAGGCAGTAAATCTAGGAAAAAGAACAGTATAGTCTTCAAGTGTATCTCTCTCTCTCTCTCTCTCTCTCTCTCTCTCTCTCTCTGTGTCTGCTCTTCCCTGTTTCAGTATCATGCTAGTTATTGCAATAACGATTAGGCTATTAGAAAAGTATTCAAGCTCCCCAGTGCTAATCCAATGGAAATCGGTGCTAACTGCCAGCCAGACTTCCTTCCGCTTTCTGTCTGCAAATCTAAAAAATGATTCTGATTTAGAAATGATGAAACTTATCTGAGATGCTTCAGCGAGGGAAATGATTGAGCTGTCTGGCAGAGTTTTACACAGGGAGTGTGGGTGAAGCTAGGATTCTTCTAAAAAGCATGGGTTTCGCTTCATGCCCTCCAGACCCCAGGGTGCATGATTCCTGAAACGGAGCCCTCTCTCCCTGTGCCGTTTGAACATGTGCTGTCATCCAGAAAGGCTTACATCTGCTGTCCATTAGGAATACATGTGGGGATTTCCTGCATCTTTGCATTGACCCTAGAGAAAGTGGCAGATCACCATTCCCTGCCCCCTGTGTTGAGGGAGGGACCCTTTCAACCAAGGATGAGGACCACCTTTTAAAGCTACTGAGCATCATAATCCAAAATGCCCCCCTTGGAATTTCTTCAAATCGTAGAATCAAGGAGTGGGAAGGGGCCCTCAGAGGCCATCGAGTCCAACCCCTGGCTCAAGGAAGGAATGCAGATCAAAGCAGATCGGACCAGTTTTCCCTTGAAGGCCTCCAGCGTTGGAGTGCTCACCACCTCTCGTGGTCATAGGTTCCATCGTCGTACTGCTCTAACAGTTAAGACGTTTTTCCTGATATTCAGCTGGAACCCGTCTTCCAGTCGCTTGAGCCCATTGTTGGATGTCCTGCATTCTGGGATGATGGAGAGAAGATCCTGCCCCACGTTTGTAAGACTCCCTTCAAGTCTTTGAAAAGGGCTCTCCCGTCTCCCCTTGGTCTTCTTTTCTCCAGGCTCAACAGGCCCACTTCTTTCAGTCTTTCCTCCTCAAAGGGCTTGGTTTCCAGCCCCCTGATCATCATCCTTGTCGCCTTCCTCTGAACTTGCTCCAGTTCGTTGGCATCTCATTCAGCCCAATGGCCGTGGGAACAGCAGAAACGGATCAACGTTCCATGGGTCTCTTCCCTGGGTTAAAGAACTGAACAATCTTTCTATCAAGGGAAAGTGGTTGTGTGAGCATCTGTCAGAGATGCTTGAGCGATGGATTTCCAGGACCGGCAGTGGGGCTGGATTAGATGGGACACCCACCAACTCCACATTGCTTTGCCCTGTAGCCTGGATGCAGTTTTATTTTTCTCCTCTGTGTTGCATGGGTACCTCTTGCAATATTTGAACCTTTCTGGCTGGTTTTATCTTGGGGTGTTTTTCTTCGCTGTGTTTTTCTCCTCTGTGTTGCATGGGTACCTCTTGCAATATTTGCTTATTTATATTGTTACTGTATTTTATTGTTGTTAGCCGCCTAGAGTGGTCCTCACCGACCAGATAGGCGGGTTATAAATTAAATAAATAATAATAATAATAATTGAACCTTTCTGGCCGGTTTTATCTTGGGGTGTTTTTCTTCCCTGTGTTTGTTATAGCACAATGTTCTTTATTTTGTGATTTTCATTTCCCTTTACGGTGCCCAGAAAACTCTGATTTTTGGACAATGTGAAAGTGAACTAATACATATATGTATGAGTCCATCGTGTCTACCTGGTTACCAACAGCTCTGGGGGTGGAGATGGATAAGGATGAAGCATTTGTAGAAACAAACCAGAGGAAAACATCTACAACTTGCAGACTAGCCAGTGGGCGGCTCATTTTCTGCTCAGAGGAATGCTCTGAAATCCTGGCGTATTTACAGCTTCAAGGCAGAAGGAGGCAGACAGTAGGGAGATTCTGCCTCTTTACTGCCTCCTCTTAATAATTTAGCAGATTAAGGCAGGAAAGGTTGTGTCACCCAAATGCAGAGATGCAATTCAGCAGCTCTGGGGAAAAGAAATGGCAGGTGAATGAATAAAAGGCCTTAAGTTAGGAGCAGGGAAAAGAGTCCCCCATTTTAATCTTTCTTTTGCAAACCAGCTAGAGAAAATGAGCAGCCCTGTCTAGTCACAGAGGCAGGGAGCCGCTCCAAAGGTTTCCCATGAAACTGGGGCAGAGAAGAGAGGGTGGGTGAGGGGAAGCGAAGCTCTCAATGCTGATCCGGATGTAGGTGCTTCCCCCTCCGCCGGAAAATGTTTATTTGGAGATGGCAATCTGGGGTCGTGAGGAGAAAAAAGGTCTTCAAACCTTTCCATGCAAGCTGAGTCATTGTTATATCAGAAACCAGACAATCTTTCCATATGGCCGAGGTGGGCCATTGATCCCTGGTTAATCTCCGAAATGAGCAAGGGTTTCTGACCCGGAATCAGCGACCAACAGAAGCAATAATGAGGAGGTGCTGAGACCAGGAAAGACGGAGGGGGAAAACGGGGCTCGATTCTTCCACGAAGGCAGTGAGAAACCCACTCTGGCATCGCACAGAACTCAGCTGCTGAGACACATCATTTCGAACCCTCTTGCCGGCGTTGCAGAGGATCTGCAGGGAAGCCAAAGACAGGCCCCACCGCAGGCCCGAAGCCCCACAGAACCCGGGGGATGGGAGACTCACCCGTGCAGTGCTTCTGCAGGCGCAAAATCTCCAGGTGCAAGTCATGGAGCAGCTCCAGCTGCTGTTTCTTCAAGAAAGCGATGTGCCGTTGCACGCTCTGGATCTGGTGCTCCAGGGACACCGTCTCCATCGCAACACGTCACGGACAGAGCCTAGAGAGAACAGGCAGGGGTTGGTTAGCAGCCCAGCCTCTCCTCCTGGTGCCTTCGCTTTGCACCCGAGTCCGGTGGTGTCCCACGGGCTACAACTCTTCCTCACAGAGACCCCCTGAAGGAAGAACGGAACCCCCAAGCTACTATTCTCATCTCAGGCAATGATGTCTGAATCTGCTTCTCTGGAGCTCTCCGGGGTGCTGAAACAACCCACCGCTGGACGGCAAGGTCTTCCTTTCCAAGCAACCCACAGGGAGCTTGGCTTGCTTGCGAAGGACCATCGAGATGGGAGTTTCAGGTTTCCTAGACCACAGAGCCCATAGTTCTTCCTTCTTGGAATTCTACCCGACTGACACACACTTTATCGACAACGAAATGTGGCTCGCCTGAGAGAAAAGGCCTCAACTGGACAGCTTGGAGGCCCAGCTGGGCCTAGTTCCCCTCCAAGCTTCCTGTTCCTGTCCCGGTGCTCGCTGGGAGCTTTCCTTCTGAGCAGGAAGACAGCTAGGGCTAGCAGCTAGGCCTAGCTAAGCCTCAAAGCTGTCCAATTTAGGACTTTCCACCCCAAGACACCCATTTTGGTGTCTTGTCAGCCAGGTAAAACTCTCAGAATGCAGTTCTGGGTTGCTAGTAAATTGCACAAGAGTAGGCCCATTGACTCGACAGAGATAAAACTCCTCAGTAGGTTTTATCAGTTGGAGTAAGCTGTAATTAGAGTCGGCACCTACGAATCAAGAGAACCCATAGAGGAGTCGACTCCTATTAAAGCCCTCATATTATCCATATGAATTCATGGCTCATGTTAAGTCACAGCAACTTGTAAAGCGATTTTGCCAGACAGTGCATTGAATTCTGCCATGCGCACCGTGGGAAAGAACAAACAAGGGTTCCCCCAAGCAGACACTTAAAGTGTGCATCCGATCAGATCATAGGTCATCAGGAAAGGCTGAGCATTGTGCTTCTTTCTACAGAACCCCTGCATGTTGGGGGGGGGGCTCCAGGTCCCAGCCAGCATGCCCAATGGTCAGAGCAAAGGGAAGATTCAATCTGGCCCCCATCCCAAGAGCTGCTCTTTGCCCTAAATGGAGGTAGACTAACCCAGCTGAAGGAGATTGGGAAGGCGTGAATTTTCTCTGCACGATTGATTTTAGTAGGTATGTTAATAAATGGAATTATTTAAAATATTTTTACCCCACTTTTCTTTTTAAAAAAGGACCCAAGGTGGCTTGCATGAGTAAAAGAAAGTATTTAAAGCCAAAAGCAGTATGTATACAAATACTGAGATGGATCAAACAAATACCACCCTAAAATACAGTAAACAAAAGCAATACCAAAAACGCATTCAAAGCAGTAAGGGGCAACTGCCTATTTAAAAACCCTCCTTAAGGAAGTCAATCACTCAGGGAAAGCTTTGCGGAAGGACAGCAAAGATGGGGCCAGCCTGGCCTCCAGTGGCAGGGAGTTCCACAGTTTCTGGGAGCAGCCACAGAGAAAGCCCCACCAAACACACCCAGGAAGGTGGCAGGGCCGAGAGAAAGGCTCCTCCTGATGATCAAGTTGAAGGTTAGCATGGTACAGATAGACTAGGAATCAAGAGACATGGGTTCAAATCCTCACTCAGCCGTGGACACTCATGGGATGGGGGGGAGAGTTTGCAATGGGAAACAACTTCTTGAACATTTCACATGCCTCAAAAATCCTGCCAAGGTTCCTATAAATCAGAAGTGACAAAACTGAGCTTAGCCTACAGGCTACCTTCTCTTTAGATCTTCAATGCTAAACATCCATGCATCCCCTCCACCAGTTGAACTACAGTTCCCATCAGGGAGTTG